TACACTTGGTTCCCTGCAGTGTTCCTTTTGGCATGATTTCACCAGGATATTCCAAGAGCCCATTCCCCGATTCTCACCCCTCAAGGACCACCTCCACCTCCCACTCCGTCAGTGGTCCCATCTCCTTACATCTCTAAATTCTCCCCGCTCTGCAAGCCAGGAGCCACCCTCAGGGTTCAGACCTCCCGGCACTCAAACTCAGCCACAATTGGGAAACAGTGGGTGGGTAAAATGTGAACAGTGAGCCTTACCTGAGTTCCCAAGAGCTCTCCCAGGACACTTTATTACTCAACCACTGAGTTTAACAAGTTCTCTGTTTGCAGACAGAGCAAGATGATTTCTCTGACATTGAGCTTAGCAAGGTTTCGGATGTTTTCTATCTGCCTTTCTCTCTGGGGGCTCAACAGCCATTTGTGCGCTGGCCTGGAGAGGTGCCTCACTTGAATGGTACCACATTATTGCAAGAGTTGTTGTTACTGGAGGCATCTTCCCCCCCCCCCCACCCCACACTCGTGTGTTGATCTCTAAGTAAAAGCCTACCAGGTGTCACCATATTCATAACCTACTATTAATGATAGTAGCTGAGTCCCCCCACATCAGAACTCTGGCGATGTTTACCCAGAGCTATAAATCAAACACCTTGATACGGTAGGATTACATCATCTTTCACACCATGACCACTGAGTCATCAGAGCACTCAAGTAGCACCATAATTATATTATTTATTTATTTGTTCACCTGCTTCACTGTCTTTCAGAGCCTGATACATAGAAGGTGCTCGATAAATACTTGTGGAATGAATAAAAATGATGAGAAGCTCAGGAAAGAACCACAAAGACACCAAAGAGGGTGCTGAGATACAGCCACAGGGGAAATTTACACACGGTAAAGGGGGAGAACTTTTCTAAGGAGCTGAGGTTTCAACTAAGCCTTAAGGGGGAAGGCTGAGTCAGGAAATGGAACAGCAGGTGCACAGGCCAGCAGAGGCAGAGTTTGGGCACGTTAGGGAGAAGAAAGAAGGCAGGGCTAGAAGAAGCGTCGTGGGTAGGAGAGTGGCACAAAATGACTAGGAGAGGGGAGGAGGGGCCAGACCACATAGAGTCTTCGGGCTTGTGAGCCATGGGAAGGAGTTGGGCTTCATACCAAGGGGAAGAGGGGGCCTTGAGGGTTTTAAGGGGGGTGTCACAAACGGCCCATTTTATGTCTGAGGCAGCTACCTTGGAATGAAGCTCTCCCCGTTGTACAGACTCTTATACTCTCTCATGAAGACCTTAGTCCCAGCCCCTGGCTGGCTCTTAAAAACGCTTGGATCTGGACCACTCAGCCAATGAGCCTCCAGGTTTTCTGGAGGGGAATCTTGTATAAAGTGTCCAGCTTTCAGAAACGATGTTGAGGCACGTGAGTTCTGTGGGCCTTTCACTGTCCCCAAATTTTCTAACTTCTACTCTGGAATTAATCTAGCGTCCCAGAGATAGATAATTGGACCGTACGATTTGGGTCTCACGGAGTTTCACATAGGCATTAAGGCGCAGATTTGTGTCAGAGGGCCCTGGGGCAGGCCCTCCTTAGCCCGGCCCCCAGCATTCACAGAGATCCCACTGACGAGGCCCAGGAGAAGCTTCTGGGGGCTCTATGTAGGAAGGGGTGTGCCTCTCTGGAGCACAAGGCTGGCTGTGATTTTCTGGAAGCTGGAGCGTGTTTCTGTCTCTGTGAGGACTTGCGGGAGTCAGATTTGCAGCCCGGCAGTACCTGTGCTGACAATAAAATACGCACAGCTGGGGCACCTGGGTGGCTCAGTCGGTTGAGCGTCTGACTTCAGCTCAGGTCATGATCTCACGGTTTGTGAGTTCGAGCCCCACGTCGGGCTCTGTGCTGACAGTTTGTGGAGCCTGGAGCCTGCTTCCGATTCTATGTCTGTGTCTCCCTCTCTGTGCGCCTCCCCCGCTTGCACTCTGTCTGTCTAAAATAAACATTAAAAAAAATACACACATCTGAGGGCCTTTTGTAATTTTTTAAGCTTATGTTCCACTCCCCAAAGTATTTATTTTTGCCTTTTGTGATGAAGGAGTTTTATCAGCTGTCTCAATCCTTTCTGTGGAACGAGGAGGGATATAAAAAAGTAAACTAAAATTAAAATATTTTACCCACAGAAGACATTTTATACAAAACCGTCTGTACCTCCCCCCGAAAAGTAAAAAAACTCTAAAATATAGTTTGATTCTGCTTTGAACTTCATAAATTTTCTGATATTATGTAAACATATTCTCCGTGCAGTGGAGCAAACACAATCAAAATGACCCCACACTGGGTGGCCGATGACCTAAAAGCTCTCTTGCCCACCTGGGATTATTACAAAAGCCAGAAATCCAGATATTTTGTTTCCTAGCCCTTCTTGCAAGGAGGCCAAGTTCCAGGGTGGCCAGATTTAGCAAATAAAAATAGGGGACACCCAGGTAAAAGTGAAGTTCAGACAAGCAACATACAACTTTCTTAGTATAAATATGTTCCACATTACATGGGACATACTTATACCTTAACAATTCCGTGTTGCTTGCCTGAAATTCAAATTTAGCTAGGCACCCTGTATCTTATTTGGCAATGCTACTCAGTTCCCACCATGAGATATAGGCAACGTATATTCAGGCACATTTGGGAACAAATTCATTCTGAATAGAATGATGGAGACCACTGAAGAAAAGACTCACCTTTCTTCCTACCCGTGAAGGCAGCTGTGATGCCTGGCAGTCTAGCAGCTACTTTATGATCATAAGGTAACAAAGAAAAGATTGAGAGTCAACATCTTGATGAAGACAGAGCACAAAGAGCAAACTGATGTCCTTAATGATATTCTCCAATATTTTATTACTGAAATTGAAAGCATTCCAGATACCCCCTGATGTTTTGGGTTTTTGTTTGACTGGGTTTTTTTGGGGGGGGCGGGGGGTTGTTTCATTTTTGTTTTTTTAGCCATTTCTGCTACTAGTTATTCAAAAGCCTCACAAAGAACTGTAAGATTTTGGAGAAAGGGGTCACTCTTCATCACTGACACCTAGAACGGCCCCCAAATGGGAAACAAGCCAATCTGATAAATGTGGAAGTTTATCAGGAATAAATGAGCCCTGCTTGGGATTTTCCTTCTCCTTCTCTCTCTCTGCCCCTCCCCCACTTGTACTGTCTCTCTCTCAAAATAAATAAACTTAAAAAAATTTTTAATTTAAAAAATGAAGTTGGTAGGTACTTTAATGGACATTTCATAACACAATGGTCAACAGTAATGGTGTTATCATTTGCCTTGAACAGAAGGTAATCCAAAAAAATAAATTCTAGGGAAAAGAGAAATATAATGGAAGCAAAGCAAGGCGTTTTGAATTTTAGCCAGATTCTGTGGCTGCCTCAGTTCACAAAGTGCTAACACACTGATAAAAAACAAAACCAAAACATTAGGAACAATCTGCCACAGTGCAAATGAAATGTGTCAAAAAGCAATACTCACTTTTCCTACTAGTAATGTGCTATAATATTTTCTATTCTATTCTGCATCTTTCTAAACTAGTGGTTTTGATCCATTACATGGATTCACCACGTGGCTTGGTCCCACAGCTTCAAAACCACTGGATTAATGAATGTTATAGAAGTGTTAAAAACACACCGGTACCTGGAGCACCTGGGTGGCTTGGTTGGTTGGGCGTCTGACTTCAGTTCAGGTCATGATCTCACGGTTTGTGGGTCTGGACCCCGCGTCGGGCTCTGTGCTGACAGCTCAGAGCCTGCAGCCTGCCTCGGATTCTGTGTCTCCCTCTCTCTCTCTGCCTCTCCCTGGCTTGTGCTCTCTCTCAAAAATAAATAAAAACATTAAAAAAAATTTTTTTTTCAAACACACCAGTACCAGCCTGAGAGCTTCCCTTGAACTTTATTTTTGAGAGAGAGAGAGCACTTGAGCAGGGGAGGGACAGAGAATCCAAAGCAGGCTCCAGGCTCTGAGCTGTCAGCACAGAGCCCGACGCAGGGCTTGATCCCACAAACTGAGATCATGACCTGACCCGAAGTCAGATGCTTAACCGACTGAGCAACCCAGGCGCCCTGTTCTCGTTGAATTTCTTAAGACTCAAAAGATCCTGAAGGTGGGAAGGGGAGCAGCTTCCTCACTGCCGTCCTGCACGTGCAGGTTCAGGTTCCAGGCCCCAGGCAATAGCCAGAAAGCTCAGCAGGGATGGACAGACCTTCTGTTTCCTGACTGGGGAACCTTCCTGGGCCCTATTCGTCTGTACAACTGGATTAGTATCCTGTGGCTGCCGTAACAAACCAGCACAAGCTCAAACACTGGTGGCCTCAAACACTAATATTCTCTTACAGGTCGAGAGGCCAGAAATTCGGAATCCACTTCACTGGGCTCAAGTTGTCAGCGACACTGATTCCTTCTGGAAGCTCCAAAATCTGTCTTCCTGCTCTTCCCAGCGTCTAGCGGCCGCCTACGTTGTCGGCTTTGCCCTTCCCTCGTCTCCAAAGTGCACCGCTGTTCTCTGTCTCCACCATCACACCTCCTTCTCCTCCCACCCTGCCGCCTTCCCTTGTAAGGACCCTGTGACTGCACCGGGCCCGCCTGGATAATCTCCCCATGTCGGTCAAGGTCCTTAGCTTAATCGCACCTGCGAACCCCACTGGCCATATGAGGTGAGACATTCACAGGTTCAAGGGACAGCAGCAGACATTTCAGGGGCCTTCACCCAGCCTGCTGCAATAACCAAGATAGGCTGAGGCAGGCACGTGCCTCAGCTGGAGGTGGAGGCCGAGGTCAAGGTGCCAGGTGTGACATCAGTTGCCACAACACAAGCACGCGGGAATAAACCCCCAAATGGATGCTGGGGTCTGAGCGGAGTCTGACTCACAGGGAGCAATCCAAGGCTGGAGGAAGATTCGGGAGCTTTGGTTCTGGCTGACGTGGCGGTGAACCAGAGCCCTCCCAGGGGAGCAGCACACGAGCAAGTGCAGAGGACCAAAGGCAACTGGCAACAGAGATTTATTTAAACGGTAAGCCAACGGGCACAGCAGGTGGTGCGACAGCCCTGGGAAGTGAGGTCTGTCAGGGTGTGGGACGAGCCCAGGGCTGGCCACCGCCCAGGAAACGTGGCCAGTCCACTCTGGGAAGGTTGGTGGCAGCAGCTCCCAGCTCGGCCTGGGCTTCCAATAGATTAGTAAGTGATTTCCTTCAAACCTGAGGAGGGGAAACACACAATACTGTTAGCAGACTCACACTGTAGGGCAGAGAAAGCAGGCAGCGGCAGGAGAACGAGGCCCTGCTGGACCCCGTGCCCCTGGCGACCGGCTCGGGGGCACGGGCCACACGCCTCATCGTGGCAGCTCTGGTCTCTGGCGTGGTTCGAGATCAGCCACGAGGAAACAAGAGACTGGACAAGGCTGTGTGTGCAGGGGTGACAAGGGGATTAAGAGAGCACGGTCACAGCTCACGGGCTCTCTGCAGGCAACGCCCAAAGTCTACCCTTTCAGTAATGAACTCTGAGCAAGTGCAGACACGGGGTTGTTCTTCACCTCACACATACAGCACCCGTGTCACAAAGCTGCCCCTGACACAGAGGTGTTCGGTGTGTTAAAAAACTTTATAAAAACTAGAATCAGGGGCGCCTGGGTGGCAGTCGGTTGGTCGTCCGACTTCAGCTCAGGTCATGATCTCACCGCTTAGGAGTTCCAGCCCTGCATCAGGCTCTGTGCTGGCAGCTCAGAGCCTGGAGCCTGCTTCGGATTCTGTGTCTGCCTCTCTCTGCCCCCTCCCCCCCGCAACTCGCACACTGTGTCTCTCTCTCAAATATAAATAAACATTTAAAAAATTATAAAAAATGAAAACTAGAATCGGCTTCGCAGTATTCCGGACAAACTACGTTTCCAAAAGTGTGGGAAAGTTGAGTCAATCTGGACATAGTAGCCTCAGGACAGAATTTTTATAAAGCTGTTAAAATTATCCTCAGCGCAAGTTTTTCACAGCAAGGGGAGATGGCTGTCATAATACTAAATGGAGAAGATCAGGACTCCAAGTTACACAGCACAGGAAGTCAGTTCTGCTAAAAAGAGCACGGTAGCTAGAAAAAGAGTGGAAGGAAAGAACTACTAGGGTTATCTCTGAGTGACAGGCACGCAGGCAATTTTCCTCTTCTTTTAGAAGCTTGTCCTCTTACGTTTTAGAAGCTTCCAAAGTCTACAAAGAATCACGTTGTTTTTAAAATTGGGGGGGGGAGGGGAATGACAGTATAAAACCCCACTCATAAATCATTTTAAATAAAAAGACACATTTAAAAGGATTTTTTGGGCTGAACTGCTCGGTAAGTTTATAAACTACTGGAATGATAAGCCCCAGGGAGAAGACTGACAGCTACATATCAACATGGGATTTTCGCACAGGAGAAAAGTTCTGCCCTCGCTCCGTCTAGTTCTGTGTTTCGTGTGGGCTCCCTGCCTCAGGCTGTATGTCATCGGACCGGCTGCAGGATGACCTCTGCAGGAAGTGTGAAGGGCGGCTACTCCAATCAAGGCCAAAACTGGGATCTAACATGGTCTCCACGAGGCTCTGAGAGATGCCCTAGGGGATGACCCCCCCCAGAAGAAGCGAGACCAACGTGGGCCCCTTGTAAATGAGGAACTGGGTCAAGACCGAGGAAACGAGAAACACAGAGACGAGGATCGATGCTCCCTCCACAGCCTTCTTCTGCCAGGCTAGAGGACTTCACCTTAATCATAGGAGGTAAGAGGTGGGGCGCCTAGTGGCTCAGTCAGTTAAGTGTCTGACCTCGGCTTGGGTCACGATCTTATGGTTCATGGGGTCAAGCCCCACGTCAGGCTTTGTGCCAACAGCTCTCAGCCTGGAGCCTGCTTCAGATTCTGTGTCTCCCTCTCTCTCTCCCCTTCCCTGCTCACATACTCTCTCTCTCTCAAAAATAAACATAAAAAAGAGGCAAGACGGAGAAATTCGACCCGCAGCTGCATGGGTGTGCTGGGGACACAGATGAGGACATATCCTCATACGTGTCTAGGTTACGTCTAGCAAACCTGGTTATAAGGTGATTAACGAGACAAACAGTGGTTACTTTTATTAAGATTACTGCTTTCGACTCTCAAGGTCTTTTCCCTTCCAACTGAGGAAATGCCACGAGGCTGCTAAAGCGTCGTAGGTTTGTTAGTGTGGTCCACATGACTTATTTGAACAATTCACCTGGTTTCTGTGCTATGAAAACACGGAGGAGGGAACAGCTAGCTTTCTGCATAGGCTCAGGAACACACACATACGATACTCCAGTTTTTCCAGGCAGGTCTTATATTCTTTGCAGAGAAAAAGGTCCCCATTTCTAGGTCCAATCAACAGATGTCAAACCACGTACCTAGTTCACTTCCTCCTTTGCTTGCCCAACAAAGGCAGTAATGTTTCATGAGCTGTTCAAGCAGCTCCATTTCATCCAGGAATTCAAGTGACTCTATTCTGGGGAGAGAATAAAAAACAGAGTATGAATTTATGCAAATGAAAATGAACATGATGACTGAAAGTTTAGGGATATGGAAAGATGTTCATATTTATACTAAGAGGAAAGAAGGATATGAAATAGTGCATATGGTATGGTTCCATTTTACTTTTGTTGTACAAAAATATACCATAAGCAAAGTCAAAAGACAAATGAGAAACTAGAAAAAAATATTAGTATACAAATGACAAAGGGTAGATTTCCTTGCCATGTAAAGAGCTGGTACACATGAGAAAACCTGTTTTAATTTTTTTTTAAATAAAAAAAAAAAATTTTTTATGTTTTTTTGAAGGAGAGGAGTGTGAGAGTAGGGAGAGGGACAAAGAGAAAGGAAGACACAGAATCCAAAGCAGGCTCCAGGCTCTGAGCTGTCAGCACAGAGCCTGACGTAGGGCTCAAACTCACGGGACTGCAAGATCATGACCTGAGCCAAAGTCGGATGGATGCCCAACCGACTGAGCCACCCAGGCGCCCTCCTTTTTTTTTTAAGTAGGCCCCACACCCAATGTGGGGCTTGAACTCACGACCCTGAGATCAAGAGTCAGTTGCATGCTCTACCGACTGAGCCAGCCGGGTGCCCCCCCCCCCACCCCGCATTTAAAACGTACACCCTTTCACTCAGCAGTTCTGCCTTTAAGAGTTTACCCTATATGTACAAAGATGTACGTTCCAGAATATTGACGGCAGCCTCACAGCTGCATCATAGCTGTAACCGAGGAGAGCTGGGTTCAAGAGGTTATGGCGCACTCACACAACTGGAGGATATGCAGCTATCTGAAAGAATGCGATGGGTCTGTGTGCACCGACCTGGAACAGTCTCTAAGGCTTACCGTGGAATTCGAAAAGCAAACTGTAGAGTAAATAACGTGCAGAGTGCGCTACTATCTACGTAAAGAGCAAGTGGGGGACATACGTGCTTCCACATGCATAGCTCACTTCTGGAAGACACAGGCAAGGGCACTTGTCTCTTGAGAGAAGGTGGTAGACTCGTGGAGAGGGGAGCAGGATGGAAGGGTTGGTCTTTGTACTCCACACTGTCGTCTTCTGTTTTGTTTTATCATGTGCTTGTATGTTTTCAAAAGAGCATTTAAATAGAAGCTTTAAAATATACACACAAAGAGGCGCCTGGGTGGCTCGGTCGGTTAAGCGTCCGTCCAGCTCTTGATTTTGGCTCAGGTCACGACCTCACAGTTCATGGGTTCAAGGCCCTCACCTCGGGCTCTGCACTGACATCATAGAGCCAGCTTGGGATTCTCTCTCTCCCTCCCTCTCTCGCTGCCCCTTCCCCACTCGCGCTCTCTCTCTTAAAATAAAAATAAGTTCAAAGAAAAAATCTGTAAAACACAGGGATTGTGCAGAATTGCCACCGCACAGGGTGCTCTGGGAGTGCGACAGGTGTGACTTCTCGTTTTGACCAAAATAACCTGCTTTGGCACAAACACCATCTCCGTTAGTGGCTAATGAGTTCCTCTCAAGGTGCTATGGTTTAGCGTGTATTAGCAGATTAACATGGTTCAAAATATATCTAGTGAGGGTTGGAGGTTTGAGGTTTGTTTTTGTGTTTACATTAAAGACAGTTATGGGGGTGCCTGGGTGGCTCATTCGGTTAAGCGTCCGACTTCAGCTCAGGTCACAATCTCGCGGTCCGTGAGTTCGAGCCCTGCGTTGGGCTCTGGGCTGATGGCTCAGAGCCTGGAGCCTGATTTCGATTCTGTGTCTCCCTCTCTCTCTGCCCCTCCCCCATTCATGCTCTATCTCTCTCTGTCTCAAAAAT